CACTTACACACTGCTCTTGTCTTTGGTGTCTTTGGCTTTTCTGTGGTATGCCCCAGGGTTTTTGCCTTTTATTCTTTTTGATAAGGTTCTTTAGCAGCTCTGGTTTGGAGATGCTCTGCTTGTCATTCTGGCCTGAGTACAACCCAAATTTGTTGTGTGGTTGCCTGTGATGGCAATGACATAATTTTGTGTCTCTGCTTTCCCATCCAGTGCTTCTGTTAACATTGGAATTGTGAAATTTATTTCAGCTTTATATCTGTTAACATGTATCTTAATTTTTGCTGTATATTGTGTTCATTAGCACCTCTCTGCAAACCTCTTTTAAGTGCAAGGTAAGTGCTCTTCCCTGGTTATAATACAACTAAGGAATACTGACAATGGTTCAAAATTGATTCATGGATCAGTCTGCAAAAAGGGTTTCTATATCATTACATCTTTTTGGAGAGAAGTTTTGATTAACAAATACTGTCAGCCAGCAACTAAATGCCATGCACCCATCTGATCACTCCCCTGCCATACCCTCCATGGGATGGGCAGGAGAATCAGAAAAAAGGTAAAGCCTGTGGACTAAAGTCAGTTAAAAAATGGGAATAAAAAATAGTAATGAAAAGGGAGATACGAAATAAGGAGGAATAAAACCCAAGAAAAACAAGTGGTGCACAGTACAGGTGTTCAGTACCTGCTGACTGTAGGACCAGTTCCCCAGCAGCAATCAGCCCCTCCAGGCCAGCTCCCCCAGTTTCTGTACTGGTTTCTCTACTTACCTCCCCTGCACCTTTGGCCAGTTCCAGTCAGCTTTCCTGGCCATGCTCCCTCCCAGCTTCTTGTGCATTTCCTCGCTGGCAGAGCCTGGGAAACTGATTTAGAGTAAGCACTGCTTAGCAACAACTACAACATCAGTGTGTTATCAACATTATTCTCACACTGAATCCAAAACACAGCACTGTACCAGCTCCTAGGAATAGAATTAACTCCATCCCAGCTGAAACCAGCACAGCCTGAGAGGCAGACTAAACACTGGGGACCTGATTGATGGCTGCATGGCTTTGTGCTGATTTCCCTGCACTGTCTGCCACTTTTCCCTACAAAAATCCTGCTGTGATTAGCCCCTCACACTCCTGAATGCTTGGACTCAGATTCACATAGTGCAAAGTATTGCTGTGGAAATTGATGCAATTATTCAACATGCTTCAAGCCAAGTGTGAACTTTGCATGATCAAGGCTGGCTTGTTCATCACTGCAGGGTTAAGTGTCAAAAGTATTCTGTTTTAATGTATGAGGAAGATGAGCAGTAGGGAACTGAGAGGTGTGTATAAGGGAGTGTTTCTACTTGAAAATGTGAATTACCACATTAAGAGAGATCAGTGGTTGACCTAAATTGTGTCTGGTTTTTGAATGCTAATGCTAGCTAATTTAATTTAAAGAGATTCCACTGTATTCCTAGGTGGAATTTTCTAGCATTATTTCAGGAAGTAATTATTTCTTACTCTGCATACTGATATCTTTATACTCTGAGGGATGAAAAGTACTAGTATAGATACTAGACAGCAGTATAATAACGTTATTTTGTAAATCAACAAAAACTTTATTCCCATAATTGATTTCTTTAATCAGAAATTAGATACACTTTGAAAGAAAAGACTACCTTCAACAAAAGGTATATGCTGGCCCAGTGCAATATATTGGGAATACTGGTAGAAAAGATAGAAGGTATTTACAAATTATATTCTCAGCTTGAACTTGAGTCTGTCAGCATAAAATGTAGTGTTACTCTTGTGTTCTCCATGTAGACCTCTGTCTCCAGGCTTCAGAAATTTTGGTTTGGGGGTGAACTCCAGTGTCCCAGCTGTGGGGACATCTTGACTTATTCCTGCATGCATGCAGGTTAGTCTTCCTGGAAACAGGCACGAGCTTAGCATGATAAAATATTTTGATGGTCTCATTTTCTACCCAGCAATATTTTCAAAATCCTCTTCAAGTAACATTGTGTGAAGCTTGTGGCATTAATCCAGAACAGATGACACAGACATAGCACAGTGAGAAAATCCAGATCTGAGAGGGAAAGGGCTACAAGTGCCCATGACAAAAAGCTGGTGGTGTCAGCTGACATTCCAGAATTGGACAAACCTAAATCTGTGAACAACTTGGAAAACAACCTCTCAGCTCTGCTGACCTTGCCTGGGTTAAAGCACAACTGTTCTGTTCTCCCTCAAAGCTCCCAGGCAGGCAGTGGGGAAGAGGCTGAGCTGCACCATCTGGGTCAGAGCTCTGCTGTGTCATCCCCTGTGCAGATGGTGCTGCAGCCCACTGTCCCAGCTCCTGTCTTCACATACAGGCTCGGGTGATAAAACACAAGTTCTAGCACTCTACAAAAGTAGTCTCATCTAATCTTAGAAATTAAATGGCCAACCTTAAGATTTTTCTAAGCCTGTTAATGTCCCCCAGGGTTATTTCCAACAGAAACCTTTTGCCCAAAGGGTTTATTTGCTTCCACAAAATGCCTTTGACTTTCTGTTTTGAGAACTCTTCAGCCTTCATGATACAAAAGAGTTAAATGAATGTCTCAGTGGTTTTCTGTAGATACTTTACTACTGGAATACCTTTTTCTTCTGCAGCAAGTAGCACTGCTGTTTTTAATCTCTTGTAGAGAAGATTTAGGGTTGTTGAAATTACAACTGACTCAATTTTACAAGTACAAACAACAGAGTGCAAGAGAGAAAGCTAGCAGCTCCTCCCAGACATTTTATAATTCATGCATACTCCTAGCAGAATTATTTATGAAATGTTTATGACAGCACTGTATGAAAAGAAATAAACCTGGGTAAAGCTGTCTCTTGTTAGATTTTACTGCAGAACTGCTGGTCTGGATCTGTGTGTCACAGGCTGTTGTATAATTTGTTAGCTGTCACTCTTCTGCAACTTAAATGAGCAAAAAAGGCATGTTCAGTTAGCCCTGACTTCTTCTTATTTAACATATTAGAATAATGTCAGGATGCTCAGAACTTCTCTTTTTCAGTTCTGAGAGTTACTGCATGATTGTACCTATTTGTTTCCTGAGCAGTAAAGAAAGGCCCTGATTTTCTGTAAGCAGAGGTTTGTGCATGTTGATGGCTTTGTTAGTGATGGCAATCATATGAATGAATATTGCTGTTAGATTTTAAGGAGTTTTAGCTGTGTTCCTATAAATTGCTGTCAAATCTGATTTGTTTGGCCATTTCTCTCTTGCATGTACAGGTACATTGCAGCTTTTCTCCTCTTCTTTTTCTCAGTGTGAGTGTAAATATATGCAGAGATTTTTTTTTAGGATGGCTGCAGGATGGTTTCTATAGTAACTAAATTAGAAATTATTTCAGCAGGAGGAAAAAAATCCCAATATATTGCTTTATATAGTAGGGCACTTTCTTATATATCCAGATTTCATGATACTATTAATAAAACAAAGTTAAACTTTGTGCACAGATGATGGGCATTGATCAGGCTGTGGGTAGGTGGGGATTGTGGAAGGAGCATTTTGGTGGTTGAGCTCCACTTATCAGCAAGTTCTCCATATGGTATAATATACACTATTTATATTTTCCTGGCACATCTTCTATGGTAATAATAATCTGTTGTAATAAAGATCTTCATGTCCATCTTTGGTAACTGTTCCCCACAGACAAAAGCTGTGCATGCACACCATATACTGTAGTGCAGACACTGATGTGCATGAAGTCTTGCTGCAAACTGTTATGGATAATTGTTCTATTTTTAATCCCCAAAGCAATGCAGTGTGTTTATTCTCTTCTGTATGTGTAAAGCCCTTCATTCTGTGGTCTGGGCAAGCAGGGTCAAATTAAGGTGGGGACATCCTCTGGATGCCTGAAGCTGGAGACAGCAGTGAGTTCCCTTTAATTTGCCTTTGTTCATGCCAAGTGTGACTGTCAGGAGACTCTGCTGAGCAGAAGGGCAGGTTCTGGACACTAGAAGTTGAAGTCTAAAGTTGGTGCTGCAGGTTTCTAAAGGTAGTTCTTATTACACAGCATGGTGTTACCCAGTGAGAGCTTTCTCTGGTACTCTCCTTGTAGCAGGTTCTTCCCCTAGTTGTGTTCCAGGCTGAGAGTTACATCTGCCTGTCTTAAGAGGAAAGTTGGTTCTGAAAAGGAGAGCAGGGTGTGCTCTGGGATTCTGTGTGACCAGAGGCATGCAGGTGAATTTGAGATGCAGAAAAGAAGGCTCTTATGAAGTCTCCAATATAGGAGACAAACAGGAAACATGCCTCAGCTCTCCTGGAAGTTGGGCAGTCTATCAAGGAAATTTCATTTTATGCCTGAATTGTCTTTATATATCACATAGATGGACATTACTGGTCACTGTCAAAAATATGGCATTGAGTGAATATATGGGATTTTCTTTTGATCCAGTCCAGCCGTTGTTTGCTTCTCTCCCATTTCCTGAAGTGTAACCTCAGCATTAGTGATTGCCATGCCTTTGATTAAAATGCAAGATTTGTTGCAGAATCTAATGTCTCTGTTAGAGACAGCTGACTATATATCATCCAGGGGAAGAGGAAAATGCATTAGCAGTGCTCTGAACCTAAAAATGTGTGTTCTGCCCAGTCTGAGTTTGCTACTAATGTTGGCTTGAAGAACCCCCAAACAGCACACAGTGCCAAGGGACAGCTCTTCAAGGCTGCTTGAGACAACCTGACTGAAAGCTAAGGTTCAGTATTTCCTGCCATGTACTGGAAAACTTGAAACTGGAGGTAACAGCAGACTAAAACCACTTCTGTAGAAATCTTATCACTCTTCTTTCCTTCCTGTCCTTGGCTGGTGAGAGCTCTGAGTTACTCTCCTCCTGCTCATAGCTGATGTGTCTCTCTTTGGTTGGCAAATGTGCCTCCAGCTCCTAGACATCTGCTATGTGGAACATGAGCCTTCCAACCAAACTACTGCCATTTAAATCACACTGGGGGGAAATGGAAAAAACTTGAAGAAACTTATTGTGCATCCATTGAGTTGAGATTGGGTCCTCAGCGTGGTGAGAGGTGGAGTTTCATCGTGTATGGAGGCTCTAAGAAAATTAATGATTATATTGTGGTTTGATCATGATTGGTTCTGAAAAAAATGTTCTTCTTTTTAGTGCTTCTAATGCTTTATGTAAAAATGAGTACAAGGGGTTGCCAACTCAAATTAAAAAAATAAAAAAAAAAGAAGAAATCACAAGGGACATCCCAGAATTCACAAGGGTTTAGTTATTCCGTTTTGCCGTTTGTACTTCTGAGTGTTTTGGATGCCATTTTTATGCAACCACAAGGGAACAGAAACCATAAAGGAATCATTAAAAAAAAAAACCAAAAAACCTTTGATTCCAGCAACTAGATAATGGTTTAAGCAAGTTATTAGACTTAATACCATTGAATATGCAAAACAAGTGTCTAGAAAAGGTGATCTCCACCTTTGACACTGTGTAGTTGCACTAAACAAAATAGTAATGATACCATAATGACAACCTATAATAATAGTCTAATTTCTTTTTTTTCCTACTACTTATTTCTCTTTTCTGTGCTTAGGCTAGGTAGATAGGGACATCTGGTTAGGAGATGGTTAAATTCCTACTTACTTTAGAAGATCGAATTGTGTTTAATCTCTTCAGGAGATGGCCATATTCTAGCCATGAAATGTCAGTGTTTTCCCTGGGCAGGACCAGGCCCAGCACAGTGCTGTGCTTTGTGAAAGTGCCATTCAGCAATGCAGCTCCTCCTGCCAGCTCTCCAGCAGCTGGGGAGGATTCAGTAAAAGACATTTCTCTGCTAGGTATTTTCTGCTCGTGCTAGGAAGAGGCAGTGCTCGGTGGAATGATGTGACAGTGTGGGAGCTGGGGCTGTCAGCAGTGCAGGGCTGTGCTCAGCAGGCTCCTGCACTGGGGAGCCTGTGCTGCACAGGGGCTGCCAGAGCCAAGGCTGTCCTTGGGCGCACACAGCACACACCTCGCTGCTCTGCCTCTCGTGGGCTGCAGCTGCCACACTCTGCAGTGTGCACACTCTGCAGGAGCTGCCTGGCCTGCTGCCCCAGGAATTTGAACAAAAGCTCCAAAATCTTTTCCTACGTTCCCCAATAATGACATTCTAGAGCTATTGTTCTTTGTCTGGGTGAGGAAACCATTTCTGGTGTGGTGAAGACATACTTGTGTGGAAAACTGCTGGGAATAAATGAAAAACCCTCCAGGAGTCCCTTCTGAGCCAAATGATTCTATTGATAGCCTTAATTTGTAAATACTGTATAAAAGGCAGATATTTTATGGTAACACTTCAAGCTAAAGTTTGCAAGACTGAAAAATGCAAACAAATCAGTGATTTCTGTTCTCTTTTCCTTGTTTTTCTTCCTTTCTGGTCTTTGCTAATTTTCTCCATTTCCCTTCACTGTATCTTCTGCAGAGCAAAATACAGGTTACAGGTGTGATGCTTCCAGCACTCATCATTGAATGTTCCTTGAGCCACAAGATTAGAGGAACTCCTGCTGAAAAAAATCATTGTCTTACCTGCCTGCAGATTCAGGAAAGCATATTTGCATTGGTTACATATAACTCTTATTTACAGGATTATTTTTGCATCAAATATAGAAATTGTGGGTGGTTTTTCTTTTTGTTTTTAATTGACACTTAAGTCTGATTCATTAAAATGTGTAATAAGGTGATAGCCCAGCCCTTTTCTCAAACCATGACTGAAAATTAATTTTATGAAACTGAATGTGTATGAAAGATTAGTGACTCTGACTCTGTTAAATTTACTGAGGTTTTTGTGTTTGAAATAGGCTGTTTCTATGTGGAAAAAGGTAGCTTTTCAAAAATTCACATTTTAGTAAAGAAATCATATTAATGTCCATTGTTTTTCTCATCTGGTGTGGTAAATGGCCTCCACTGGGGAAAGGGGAAGCAGGGAAGTATGATACAGGTTGTCCCTGCAGTTAAATGATTCCTTTTCTGACTTTACCCTTGATAGTTGTTCTTTTGTCAGTAAAAAGCCATTTTCCATCTTTGCCCCTTGTTTTTCCATCGGTAAACTTAATGTCATTCTACTCATCCATCCCCCATCCACCGATTTTCTATCATTTGAGTTGAAAGAATGCTTTTAGTAGGTGCAGAGGAGTTTGTTCTCTCATTCTCTCTCACTTGCTCTCATGTGTTTTCACTCTCTTATGCAACCTTAGTACCAAGTCTGGGAGCAAAGGCAAACAAGGAGTTAACTGTGCAAGTGAAACTTTCATAGTGATTGGCCTGAGACCAGAAACCCAGCAAGCAATGAAGTCTTAAAAGTTGCCTATAAAAAGCTAGATAACTTTTTCAACCTCTGCCCAACATGTTATTTACAGTTCTTCACTCCATCCTCTTGGAAAAACAGAACTCATCAGTGAAAAATGTCTGTCGTTCACAGAGTTTTCTGTCTCAATATATACACACTGTTCTTCCTGGCCAGCTTTGCAGGCTTCCAAGACCCAGCTAGTAAAGATGCCAATAAATCTAAATCCCTGGAGATACAAGCATGGGGTTTGGAGCTGTCATTTGTGCCAGTGGATATTAAACAGCTATTTTTTTCCATTCTGTTTCCCTAGGAAAAGTTTCTTCTTTTGTTGAGTAATTGAATTTCTAGGCAAAGGTAAGCAAGGGAGCAAATAACCTGAAATAAATGAAGCTATTTCTTTGTGGAAGAGAAATTGTCATGGAGATTGTAGTGTGTTACAGGATATAGAGCAGTTAGTTTTAAATCTGGACCTTAAAAGTCTAACAGCAAACATTCCACCCACTCTAAACAGTATTTGAAAGGTGGAGGCTTGCTGGAATACTGTGTGATGAGTGTCCTTTTACAAATGTGTAATGAATAAATCCATAATTTGATTTTTCCATCTGCTAGCTGTGTATGAGATATGGGTGGAAGAGCTACCTTTAGGCATTTAATGGGATTACTTTTATACTTGGATTGGCTTCTTTTCTCTTAAAAAAAAAATTAAATGAGATTTTTTAACTAACTTAAGACTTTTAAATCCAGTAGGAGAACAGAGTTTTAAAGGTGGTGATCCATGAAAGGTCTTTAAAATACACTGTTCTATATTTCATGTGTATTATATGTCTATTATCAATTTATCAGAGTAGTTTTTGCAGGTTTTTACTATGAGTTATTTCTCCTAGCTTTATCGTGGAAATAAATGGTAAGAACAGTTACATGAGTGTAGACTGCTGCATAAGCAAAACACAGCAAACAAACACAGAAAAGACTAAATCTGAAATCTTCGAAGAAAATCTAAGATATAAAATTGAATCTTTAATTACCTGTCATTAGCTTTCCTTTCTCCTACAAATTCCTACAGCAGTTTCCTCTTTTATACATTTAATTTTGTAGATATTTTCAGGACTACTTTTGAGGTAGGTACCAGCTTGTATCTCATCTTTCTCAGTACAGCACTTGTCTGTGCCATATCCCTGGTATGGCAGATTTTTTTCTTTCCTGTATCTTGCTGTGTAAAAACATCAACCCAAATGGCAGTAAGGGAACACAAAACTACTTCCATCAGACAAACAGCTCATCCTGCCTTTCTGGAACCCTCTGAAAATTTCCTTCTGCACCAGTGATAGTTTTATTTTACCTGGAATTATGGTAATTTATTATAACTTTCATCCTAGTAGAAAGAAGAGAATTAATAGTGAAATTAACTTTATTTTATTAAAGAAGTGTATTTCATGATAAATATTCCAGGAATTTCAGTTCTCTGGAGAAGGATATAAGAATTTTTCATTGATATTCACTGTCTTAGTGTAAAAATGAAAACAGAAGAATGTGGGATGAGAGCAGCATGATGCAAGTCCGTGTGTACCTGTGCAAGCAGGTAGCATTTATAGATAAATATTTTTGAACTTAATGACTACAGCAAGATCTAATTGGCCAAGTTAAAAAGGTTAAGATGCAGAAGATAAGGTGGGGGATGGTGACAGGTATTTGTGTGTAGGCTGGCCAGTGTCACTGCACTCAGCTGAAATGTGGACATTGAAGTGGGAGCTCTCTTAGTAATAGTACTCCATCTTTTGGCAAAATTCCTAAAGGCAGAGGAGTAAAAAGGTTGAATATTGTATAGTGTGGTATTGTTGCAGACTCTTTGGCTCCTGTGGAGGAGGTAGGATTTCCTGGCAGAATATGAACGCTTCTGGAGTTTGCGTGGTCGCTGCTGTGGGAAGCAGCAGGGGCTGACCACTTAGACAAGGTGACTTTCTCAGCCTCCTGAAAGGAATGAAAACAAAATAGGATTGAGAGGGTGAGTGAAAGTAATGGAGCCCATAGTGGTCATTATTTCAGCGTGCTCCTCTGAACACTCACATTATTACTGTGATCTGACAGGAGAATTTCTGTAAGAGCTTGATTGACAAATGGCTTTTTTCCAGGAGCTTTATGGCCTTTGTTCGTTTCAGTGGCCTCCACTTCATCTCCTCCAGTTTGCTTACTCACCTCCTGTCAATAAAGTTTCACGAATTCGGCTTTTATGCAGTTGCTTAATTTTTCTGTAGGTTAGAGAAAAGAAAATCAGAAAAAAAAAAAAGCAACCACAAGCTTTTTACTTGAAGCACTTCCTAACAGTTACTCAGAATGAATTATGAATTTTGCTGGCTATTTGGTTTGCTGACATAGTAAAAATCAGAACTGAAAACTCCTACCAGGTCATTTTCTATTTAAATCTTTATCTCTTCAGCTGCTCCCTGTGTGTATATTCAAAGTGAATTAGCACTTAGACTATGATCTCCTGTTTAGCAGACTGAAGCTAGTGGGAGTCATTAATACAATGGCATTTTCTTAAGTATTCAGAGATAATTTAATGAGCTTGGTGTAACAGCTAAAATGATTTCTGTTTACACATCCCTGGTTTATTCCTCCTGACAGACTACACTAAGGGTTTAAAAGTATGTGTTGGAGTTTGTTGCTCTTTTTTTTCTTAATTAATAGTATAACTATCAACTACAGCATTTCAGAATCACTGTGCTCCAGTTATTTCAGTGATACTGAAGTGACTAAAATATTTCCAAGTGGGAAAAATCTGGCCAAAGCTGAAGATATAGACCAAGCTTTTATGTCCATGTAGCTCATCCATGGAGAAGTGTGTGCAGCCATCCCAACTCTGTGACACTTCAGCACTGCCTCCTGTCATGGGTGATCTGTTTAATACAGAATACATATTTTATGTTTGCAATCAGTGTGTGTCACAGCTCGTGGCAGATTCAGGGTTAAAAAAGCTGAAATAGATTCATAAATCAGATTTTAAAGAGAAGTAGGGCTTGCAGGCCCGTGTGGCTGTATAATGAAGATGGGATTTCTGAGGTGAATGCAGTGCAGTGATTTCAAAGGTATTTTCTTGGTAGCATAAGGGGAAATATTCGTGAAGGGGATATAAGTATTGAAATGAAATGCACATTCCAAATACTTTGTAAGCTGAAATACTGACAATGGGATAAACTTAATCCTTAAAAATTGTATTTAGTGACACATAAAGGTGCTGTTTTCATGCCTGTAAACAGTTTTTTCAACATGCTTGAAAGAAAAACATATGGCTTTGTTTGTCCTTAGACTGACAGCTCTGTACTAAAGGTCTTACTGAAAATTAATTACTTCCCAGCAGGTTTCAGGTCAGGGTATTTTCGTTGTAATTTTTTTCCCAATTAATAAGAAAGCAAAAGTATTTTTCTGAATTATTTATACTAGAGAGAACATTACTTTCAGAACCAACAAAAATAATACTTCACATTTTCTAGTGTTTCAAATAAAACATGCAGCTATGTACACAGGCATTTTCTGAGACTTGAGCTTATTTCAAACAAAGAGTTTTTGGAAGCTTAGGCTTTTACTAAATGTTTTTTTAAAAACCTTCTTTTCAATATTTAAATTGCATGAGCAAATAAGCAATATTTTGTATAGTTTGTAAACGAATGCTAAGCTACAAAAGTATTAGAAACTGACTGAAATTTAAATTAACAGCAGTGAGTGTGTTCCAGCTGGAGGGAGTCTTGGTCAGAAACAGACTTGTGTTACAGAACTTCAAGTGAAGAATTTTACCAAAAAAAACAGGGTTGATTGCTTTGGAGATCATCAGTGTCTTGATGGGAAATTTCAGAACAGTTACCCTCGCTGACATTCATAAATATCAACTCCTGTGCCATTAAAGTTATTATTCCAAGTTGTGCCCCTTGTCACCCAGGCACTTAGAAAGCAGAAGGATTTGAATGAGGGAAGAGCAGACATACAGACATAGAGACAGGATTTAAGTGCCTTACAAATTTCCTGCCCAGGGTTTAGACAATCAGTCAATGGGACCCTGCTGACAAAGTATGGGAGAAATAATTTTAAGCAGAAGGGTGGGTTTCTGCCTTGTGAATTAGCAGTCAGGGAGTATTGCTGTTCTTTCTGAAATCATTGCTAGAAGCCACAGCCGCTGTTTTCTGGGCTGAACATCACGGTGACAGGGTAGGCAGGTAAAGCATTCCCATGTAGGCCTATTTTCTGGGTTATTTTGTCACTGTCTTCTCAATATGTCACTTCTCTCCCTTCAAAATCTGACAAGTCTCTGCATGCTTTTTGTGACTAATTGAGCCAGAATAAAATTTCCTGCCTCTGTATGTTCTTGAATCGATAAGGTAAAGCAAAGCAAAGTGTCTTTCTTCCTGAAAACTTCTGTCTGAGAGCTGTCTCCAGCAGCAGACTGGAGCTGACAAAATGAAAGGCCCACCAGGAGATGAATCTGAAGTCTTTTAAGTATGTGGGCAGCAAGGTGAAGACAGCAAGATGATGAATTGCAGATTTCTGTTCGAGTCTCCTTTCAGCTTCATTTATTCCTATTGCTACCTTTTGATATCCTCCTCTCCCATTTTTCCATTTGCACTTGATCTTTCTTCTTCCATTTGCCCTTTTGAGAGCAGCAGTTCAAATGTCGTGTGTAGATAAATCATTTGATATGATTTTACATTTGTTTGTCTCTAGACAAACAGCATATGGTCCATCTGAAATTCCCAAAATAATAGCTTTATCTGCAGAAATCGCTGTTCTTGAGTGCAGTTTTTCAGGTATCAAGTTATATTAAAATCAGTTCCAGCACTGATGGAAAAGAGTCCTGGAAAATACCTGTATAAGACCACAAAATTTGCCACTCTGGATTAGGGTTTCTAGGCAAATATTTCAATCTGTAGCTATTGTTACCTGACTGCAAGATTGAAAATACCTGAGTTAAAGGAGGCAAATACTGCTGCTGGAAGAATGATTCTTTCTAGTTCCTGTAGGACTTGCACTGAACTGGAAACTTCAGATTACTCTTATCTCTAAAAGGAAAAAAGAAGTCATCTATAAGTGAAAACAATGTCCTACTTCCTTAAAAACAAGGGGTGAAATAATGAATAGAGTTCATGTTAGGATTTATAGTGCATATCCTTCAAACTGGAAAAAAAATTTTTGAAAATGGAACAGAATTTCAAATGACCTTAACAAATTCATATGCTGTGTTTGCAAGGAAAGCTGGCACCCTTATCTCAACAGTGCAGAGAGGCCTGCAACCTTTCTGAACATTCATTATTCACCCTAGAACATTTCATGGAGAAATCTCAGTGTGCAGAAGTGTAAAATCATTTCCATCTGGCTCCTAGGTATTGTAGCACTGGAGAGCACGTGCTAGAGTTCACATACTGTAGCTGGCTGAGGTGTTCATCAGACTTTTTCTGATTGTTATTGATTTGATTGATCTGAAGATTTTTAAAGACAAAAATTTAAATGAAGCTGGAAGCAGGAAATATGGAGTGCAATACAAACTTGTCAGTTTTAATGGTCTGGAATAGTGCTTTGCACTCCTCTTTTCCCATAACTGTAGGATAAGTATAGGACATGGTCTTTGAGGATTACCAGTTGCACCTAGGATGATTATTTTCCTTTCTCAGAGATGGTTTGCTGAGCTGAAACTATTCATTCTGGGTATTTATTTTTAAAAGGACAAATGTTAGGTCATCTTGTTGACTCTGGGCATGTTTCAAGTTCCCTGTAATTGCTCTGTCAGTCTTTTTCCCATCCATCCTTCCTTGCCAAAATGCATAAAGCCACATTGTTTTGTTCTATATCACCTAAATTAAGCTTAAAAAGTAGTAGATGTTAGCTGTTACTACAGCCCTCATTTGCACAGTGTCTCCAACTAACAAAACAAGAAAACAGTGTATCATCTTTTACCCTTAATCAGCCAGAAGACTTAAATATTGTGTCCCAACTACTGCTCTGTATACAAGTAATGAGTGAAAAGGCCTTTGATTTTAGGTGGTGTTGAGTCTGCACCAAGAATGCCGGTGGGATGGTGCCAGCCACCCTCTGCAGGAGCCTGGAGCAGGGCTGCAGCTTCCAGGGATGTGTGTGGGGCTCTGTGAATAACTCAAGGGCATTTCTAACATGAGCACCAAAGGTTTAGTCCCTTTCTATGAGCACCAGGTAGTTTTATCCACTTGTTTTTCACAACCTTCCTGAATTTGGAGCATCTCTGTAACATGTCCCATATCCAGAGTGTGAAAATCCTGTGGTGTGTTGTTGATTCCCACAGGTACAGGGGATTCCACTAACCCTTCATGAGCAGATGTATTTTTTACCTTAGGTAACTAATTTGGAATTATTTTGCTCAGTAGCACTGTAAGTTATGTACACCTGCACATGCAAGTATTACAAAATTCCTTCTGCTTGTGATGGTTCAGACAACTGACTAATGTATGCTGTAGGAGTCTGCAATGCAAGCATGGGAAATACCATGGTGATTAATGAAAATGCCAGTCAGGCAAAAAGTTGATAAGAAACCTTTGGAATTGGACAGAATAAAAAATAATACATGGTGAAAAATATATAATTTTAAACCTTAAAGATAAAGAGACAATTTCAAATTAGTGAAGAGCAACAGTGTACTTAACTCCAGGTACAGCAACTACTTAATTTGCATTAAACAGAACAATACATAGGGAAAAGCCCCAGTGTAATAGGGGAGATAGGAGCTCTACTGTGACTAAAGAAGCAGATGAAAAAGGGCAGGTCAGAAGGAAGCCTATTTGCATGAATACACAGAAAGTAAGTATTCAATTCAGTTCTGTATTTAAAATGTAAATCTGTGTTATGCAGTCAAAAGAGTAAAGGTTAATGGATTTTTGAAGTGGTAGTGTCAAAATTGTGTTGTTAATCAATATAGAATTTGTTGTTGCCTTTGGTGGAAAGATGTGAGAGGCAATGAAAATATGGGTTATTTTAGAGAGTGGCAATGCCCATAGTGAAATCTTAGCTTTAAAACAAGAAATGGTCAGGGTATTGTTGATTAATATAATTTTATAAAAGGTAGATAGGGCAGCTTGAAAAACAGCTGTTTTTTCAAGATGCTGTTGAGCGTAGAAGTGTATATATGATGTATGCAAATAAGTAGGAAGTGGCAAGGTGTATAGGGCTTTCAGTGTGAGAACCCTTGAATTGCTGTGCTTAGAAAAGAGGAACGTGAAGAAAAGATGAGTAAAAAGTGACTGAAATGAGGGGAAAGGAAGATAATGTTAGCACCTGATTTCTACCTACCGTGGGGACTGTTCTGGTTGAGAAGCAAGGTATAAAACCTGAGGTGTGAGTAAACAGGATGGATTTTGAGCACTTCAGAATAATCCTAGTAAGTGGGAGAGGGAAGAAAACAAACCAAACCAAGTCCTTGCAATGCTTGGAAAGGCAAGGAGGAGGAGGTCAAAGCAATTGCCCTGCCTATACAGTGAGAGAAAGGAGCAAGTGAAGATAAAATGTTTAAAGTTCTGAGATGAAGGTAATCTGGAACAGAGCCTGGATCAGTGGCTGGGAAAAGAAGATGAGTTTAGCTGTGCTGAGCTGAAATTGTGGAACATGTATCAGTGAGTTTATGAGGCAGGATTACATGGACTGAGCTTGGCAGCGGACTGGCACACATTTTGGGTCTCTTTAATGGGAGATTGGGCGAAATCAGCAAAAGTAGGGAGAGGTATGTCCGGGGGAAAGGACAAGGGGGGAGAATGTTTGTTTTTCCCTTCGAATAGTTTGAGAAAGGCAGAAGGATGTAACGAGAGAGGTGGCGAAGGGCTGGTGCGAGAACGGTGCCAGCAGCACCCCTGGTACCGCAGGAGCCGGGGATGGTGTCCTAGGCCACGGTGCCGTGCGGGGGAGCTGCGGGGTGGCCCCGCGGGGGCGAGCGCACGGCGGTGCGGGCCGGGCCGTGCGGGGGCCGTGCCATGCGGGGCTGTGCGGAGGCCGTGCCGGGCCGTGCCATGCGGGGGCCGTGCCGGGCCGTGCCGTGCGGGGGCGGCCCCGCGCCCGGCCATGGCGGCAGCTGCGGCGGGGAGGCGGCCGGTGCTGGGCTCGGCTCCGCTCCGAGCATCCCGGCGGGCCCCGCCGCCTCGGCGCTGCGGGCACAGCAGCGAGCCGGCCGCGCCGGCGGAAAATAGGTCACGGACGGGCCTTGGGTGGCGGCGAGGTGAAGGGCGGTGGAGCGGCACCGGCGGGGTTAAACTGGGTCAGGGAATATTTCGGGAAGGTTTGGCGGACAGGTGGGAGCAGATAACTGGTTTTTATTAATGCTCGCGAACCGACAGCGGCAGCTGTTCGCTGCGTTGCCCTAAGCGGGATGGCTGCGAGCCAGGCTCGGCGATAACCGGCACCGACTTGTCAGGCACGGCCGGCCCCGGCCCGCAGCCTCCCGGCGGCGAAGACAGAGGGAGAAATAAAATAAATAACTATCCGCGGCGGCAGGAAATCCGAGGTATGCGGCTTCCAGGGCTCGGGCAACTCCGGTGCGAGAGGAAGTGTGAGGCGGGCGGGGGCGGTCAGGTGGGGGCGCGGGGGCGGCGCGGGGCCCGGGCGGGGGCGGGCGCGCTCCGGCTCCGCGGCCGCCGGGGAACTCCGGCGGAGCCAGCCCGCGCCTCGGTGATGGTGAGTGCGGGGGGCGGCTCGGGGAACTTCCCCCGCGCACTCGCGGGGAGCCCGGGGCCGGCGCGCCGGGAGCGGCTGATGCCCCGCGGGGAGGCCGGGGGGCTCCGGCGGGGACAGATGCGGTGCCGGAGGAAGTTCGGTCTCTGTGCCCGCAGCAGCGCAAACAGCTGCCGGCTCCCCTGCGCTGCAGGGCGTTCCTCGGTGCGCCGTGCTTTTGCCCTTTCCCATTCCGCTTTGCCCGCGGGTACTGAAACCCTCCCGAGCAGCTGGCCGTGGTCTGCGGGGAATCCCTTCTCCCGTGCTGGGCGGGCTGCGGGCGCCGCTGGGCTCATCCCAGCTCCGAGCTGGAGGGAGGGAGATGAGATCTGATGACATTTGGCGTCGTGGTTGAGAAATACTTATTTCATTAGTTCGGTTCGCCTGCGGTTAGAGGCTGAACAGAGCTGCTTTGCTGCGCAGGAAAATCCTGAGGGCGATGGGAAACGGAGGAGTCGAGAGAAGTTTGGAAGGGGGGACGAAAGGGTGAGGGATTTTTGTTTGATTCGGTGTGTATTGTTTGGGATTTCTCCTTCCTCCACTCCCTGGGTGGGATGAATTACTTAGCACCCTCGTTTTCAATCCAGCCCTAAAGCTCGCGAGGGGCGGCTTTCATGTCTGTGGGAGCCGCTGGGTCTCTAGGAATGCAGCGTGGCACAGAGCAGCCCAGCTGTGCTCTCTGCTGTGCGCTCCCCGCTCTGCTACGAGAGCCGGGCGCACACGGGAGATTCCCCTGCTTAACGGTGACCTAACAGGAAAGCCTGTTGTTCTGTGTCTATTTTGCATGAGCTACTATGCTGTAACAGTTGCTGCTTCATTCAGCTTGAAGAGAGAGAGAGGATAAGAGGATTCCTATTTAATTAGCAGTTTGTTAAAACCGGTCGGCTTTGTCTAGTCACATGTTTATAATTTTAGAACGTATGTCTTAATTGCAGTGAATTCTGGTGTTGTGCATTAAGCAAGTGCCACATGCTGTTTGCGGCATTGGCTGTGGCAGCTCCACGTTTCTATTTTTTTAAATTTTCTGCAGCCTCTGTTTATTTGTGCAATGGCAGATTTTTGAGTGTGCTGGGGGCATTTTGCATGAAGCAGATCTAGGAATTAAAGCATATGCTGTAGAGGTTTTTATTACCCAGGGAGCTGCAAGTTGTGTCCTTTCTTTTGGAGCATATTCAGGTTGACATCTTGAATACCCAGATACTGCTTTCAGTAATAGGACTGTTGTGTGTTTTTAGCATCTTTATTGGAGTCTGAAATACTCGAAATGTTGAAGCCTTCCTAACTC